TGGCGACTTATAAGTCATTAAACGGTTTGGCGACTTACCCTTAAATTAAAGCGCCGGGTCAAGCTACGCCACAGACAGAAGGAAACCCCCCTTCCCAAACACTCTATAGCGTAGCGAGGACGAGCGAGGAAGAGCGACGAGTGACGAGCGACGAGCGGCGAAAACAAGTTCCAACTCCGGCGAAACTCCGGCGAAGCCTCCCTATCTTGTCAATACTACTTCACTTCCATCTTCTTCAACACTCTAGGCAAACAAATATCTCCAATTTATCTCATTTTTCATTTTAGGGTTTAGAATATAGAAAATTGGAGTTTGTAAATTAGGAATTCATTTGTGAATTGATTTGTTGTGTAATGTGAATATGTATGAAGTGTTGAATGTTGATGTTGAATTCATTGTTGTATAATTATTTTATAACTTTGTTATGTAATGTAGATCCAGAGGTGTTTTTTTTCGTATTAATTCTAAAAAAACTCAAAATATAGAATGTATTATTTTTTTTAAATGTTATATTTTCCCATTTTTAAGTGTATATATATCATATAGGATTTGCTTAATATGTTGTGATGTCTATGAAATGATTAATTTTGGTGTATGAAGTGTGTATATTAATGTGTACTCATGAAAGTTGGAATGTATTGTTATTAGAATATGGATTTCTCAATCTTCCCAATCGTGTGTCATTGGGGAGGGAACTATTATGAGGATGCTGGCCAAATACGCCATGAAGGTGGTAGAAGAAGCTTTGTCATTGTTTCTCGTGGCGCATGTTTGCTTGAGATGCTTCAAAAAATACATGTTGCTACAATGATTCCTCCGAGCCGTTGTTTGCGATTGAAAATGAAATTTCATGCTTATGCCACTTGTTGATGAGCTAGCTGTCACAAATATGTGGTCGCTGATTCAGATGGAGAGTATGTCCTCGCTGGAGATTTGCATTGAGGAATCCATAGGTGACTCTTCTATAGCTCCGTCAACATCAAATGCTGTTGTATCTAGGCATGGTGTGAATGCAGGTGTCAATGAAGGGAACTCCTCAAATGCTGATGTATTGGACATGGTTATAGAGGAAGAGTGTAGGTATTTGCACAATGGTGCATCATTTGTGGATGGGCAGGGAAGTGATGATGATGCTGGCGATAACATCAACTGTGATGACATGACAGAATCTGATGAAGATGATGGTGATACTGTCACGACAACTGCCCCGTCTAGCCACTTTACTAGAATATATGATCTCCCTGAAGGCTTTGCCGATGTGTGGATGAGTGGAACAGGTATGAAAAGGTTTACACCCAAAGGTGAGTTTGAGGTTGGTCAACAGTTTAACAACAAAGAACAAGTCATCAATATGGTGAGCTTGTATTCTATTAAACGGAACCAATTTTATCGGGTGCTGGAGTCCGATAAACACAAATGGGTTGCAGAGTGCAAGAGGAAGAAGGAACCTAATTGCCCCTGGAGAATACGCGCCACAAAGAACATAGGCAACCTCGACAGCTTCACAATTGTGCGTTATCCTGGACATCATTATGCTACCTGTGTTGACAACACTGACAGTACTGATCACGTGGCGATGACTTCTGATTTCATTGCTAAAGATGTGATTGACATTCTTCGCACTGATCCTTCCCTTAAAGTGCATACTATCATTGAGATGCTGAAGGAAAAGTATGGGTATACGATATCATACAAGAGAACATGGATGGGCAAACAAAAGGCCATTGCAGAAATTTTTGGTGGTTGGAAGAAGGCATATTCTGAATTGCCTCATTTCATGACATCGCTCCAACATTCCAATCCTAGAACTGTTGTTCACTGGTACCCACCCCCTATTACTCCAACAGGTTATATGCAGTTTCAGAGAGTATTTTGGGCATTCAAGCCTTCAATACAAGGTTTTAAGCATTGTCGTCCCGTACTTACTATTGATGGCACACACTTGTATGGGAAGTACAAGGGTACATTGCTCGTGGCTATGGGTAGTGATGCGAACAACCAAATATTTCTCGTGGCCTTTGCGGTTGTTGAATCTGAGAATGGGGAGAGTTGGCCATGGTTTATGGCATGCATTAGGGAGTTTGTAACTGATAGGGAGTTGTGTGTCATTTCTGATCGACATGCAGGTATAGTCAAGGCAATGAATGAGGTGGGCAGCACTTGGGATGAGCCTTATGCGCACCATAGGCTATGTATCCGCCATCTTGCATCGAATGTGCACACTCATTTCAAAGACACTCACCTAAAAAATCTGTTTGTCTGGACTGCACGACAACATCAAAAAAAGAAGTTTGATGGTGGGTTCAAGAAGATGGGGGAAATGCGGGTGGAGACGCGACAATTTCTGGGGAACATTCCCTTGGAAATGTGGTCATTACACCACGATGGAGGATATAGATACGGTATTATCACTTCTAATCTGGCTGAGGTTTTCAACAGCGTGATGAAAAATGCCAAATATTTGCCCATAACCGCTTATCTCTATGGAGGATTGGGCACTCCGACATGCTGGCTTATCTCTACAGACAGCTGTGTCGCGGCTGCCATAGAGGGAGCACAGAGGTTGGAGGATTTTTGCTTCTTCTCAAGATTTGGTCATGGGAGCACATCCACATTGGGTGTCCCATTATAGTGGCATACCATGTCATTGATGGACACCCACTGCCTAATGAGCCTCCACGTCTCATGGGACCATGTCATGTACGGGGCGAGGACCCTCTAGGCCGTCAGTATGTTTTCAATCGTTTGAATTTATGTTATTGTATGAATATTATAAATATATTAATAATATTCATATTAATATATGCTACATGAATGGTTAGATGGCTATTTGCTGATCTATGTCGCACATCATCGGCTTCTGGGATCGGTGTGTAAAGGGATGCGTTTGATCGGATGTCTGAGGATCAAGTATGGTGTGCGTAATATAACATTAACTATAATATGTATAACAGAAATACTAATTTTGTATCTTTATGAAACAGATTACATGAGATGTTTGCAGAGTTGGCCCCCGCTGGACGAGAGCATTCTCACATATGGCGAGCATGTGTGCCGTTGATATGTTTTGACATTGTTGAGCTTCATTTTCCTGATCGTGTATTACGATAGTTTGGGTATGAGCAGGTCATTCCAGCACCTATAAACACATATGTAGAGCTTCATAGGTTGGATAGGTGTGGGAAGCATACAGAGGATTGGGCACTCAGACATGGACATGTACGGTCATCCGTTTCGCGACTTACCCCCTGCATCTGAACTAAGCAACCAGCTACTGGAAGCCAGGAACGATCGTGCCAGGCAGGGAGGCACAGTCAGGCTTTGACGAGCATTTCCTCGTTGTGTTCAGATGTGTTGGGGCAAGTCGACTACGGCCATCTTATACATATGCCCCCATCTCAGGATATGCCATCGACATCTAGTGCATCGGCGGCATCATCATCCCAAACTCAGCATGCGAGAATAGTTCTTCAACCACGCCAGCGACGTAGGCGTAGGCAGCAACAGCAACATCTCCATGATCAAGACGATCAAGAAGACCATGAGAACTTGTAGTTTGTCTTTTGTATTGGAGTTTTTCTTGTACACTAGATGTTGTAGAAAAAACTCACTTTATTTTACGTATTTCCACCTATAAACTCTTTAAAGCTCCGATCTATCTTTCCAACGACATATAATACGCTCCAAACGGATAAACGCACAGCAAGATATGAGTGTCACAAATACTTAGCCTTATCTCTAAGATTTAGCGTTTTCAGCGAAAATAGAGCACTTTTAACGTAAATACATTGTATTTTAGTAATTAGGCAATCATCCCTTGATATTTTGAAACCAGGGCCTGAAGACAAGTTTTAGAACTCGTTAAGATCTTTCCAACGAGATATTAAACGCTTTCAACGGCACAAAATAGAGCAAGATATGATCGCATCAAATTCTACACGAGTTCGGAGTGAAATCAGAAACATTTGTGAATATATGGTTAATCTGTAACTTTTAATTAATGCATTGTAAATGAAGTTGGAACAATAGCTTTAGAGCTCCGACCTATCTTTCCAGCGAGATATAATACGCTCCAAACGGATAAACACATAGAAAGATATGAGTGTCACAAATACTTAGCTTTATCTCTATGATTTAGCGTTTTCAGCGAACATAGAGCACGTTTAGCGTAAATATAGTGTATTTTAGTAATTAGGCAATCATCCCTTGATATTTTGAAACCACCGCCTGAAGACAGATTTTAGAACTCGGTAAGATCTTTCCAATGAGATATTAAACGCTTTCAACGGCACAAAATAGAGCAAGATATGATCGCATCAAGTTCTACACGAGTTCGGAGTGTAATCAGAAACATTTGTTAATATATGGTTAATCTGTAACTTGTAATTAATGCATTGTAAATGAAGTTGGAACAATAGTTTTAGAGCTCTGATCTATCTTTCCAACGAGATATAATACGCTCCAAACGGATAAACACACAGCAAGATATGAGTGTAAAAAATACTTAGCCTTATCTCTATGATTTAGCGTTTTCAGCGAAAATAGAGCACTTTTAGCGTAAATACAGTGTATTTTAGTAATTAGGAAATCATCCCTTGATATGATGAAACCAGGTCCTGACTAAAAGTTTTAGAACTCAGTAATATCTTTCCAACGAGATATTAAACGCTTTCAACGGCACAAAATAGAAAACGATATGATCACATCAAATTCTACACGAGTTCGGAGTGAAATAAGAATCATTTGGGAATATATGGTTAATCTGTAACTTTTAATGAATGCATTGTAAATGAAGTTGGAACAATAGCATTAGAGCTCCGATCTATCTTTCCAACGAGATATAATATGCTCCAAACGGATAAACACACAGCAAGATATTAGTGTCACAAATACTTAGCCTTATCTCTATGATTTAGCGTTTTCAGCGAAACTAGAGCACTTTTAGCGTAAATACAGTGTATTTTAGTAATTAGGCAATCATCCCTTATTATTTTGAAATCCACGCCTTTAAACGTTGAGAGAGTCTCTCTCCTGGGTCCTGCGTCCTAGCTTGTTTTTGTGTACGATTCATGGCTTCCGCATCTCTTTCCTGAGCGATTGTTTGTTTGAAACCTGTTGTATTCTTTCTGTTCTCTGTCGGAATCACAGATTTTACCCTTCTTGGTCCGTGAATTTCAGTTTGAAAGGTGGATTTTAGCGTAACAGCGAAGAATGCAAATCGCGTAAACACTGTTCACAGCGTCGCGATTGAGTTGTTTACCTGAATTTTGTTGGGTTTCTCTGGTAAATGGGACTGGTTTGGGGCTTCCCATCCTATGGCGAACCTTGCTAACCCTACTTCCGGCTGATTGGTACCTGTGTAAACTGAACTGCTCTGGCCAATTTCTTTGTGCCGCTAGGTGAAAGACTGGTGATGGGGTGGAAGAAGCAGAGCAATGGGGAAGTTTCACAGGCTAGAGTAACCAGGTCGAGGTTCACAATTTTAGAGAATGATTTCCCAGCCCTGCTACCTGGGAGTATCACTAAGAAACCTGCTGAAAATACCTCTGCTGCTAAACTAGCTGCTTCAGTCGTGGAGAACAAGCTGGCCAATGTTGGAGGGGATTTGGGGGCTGCACCTACTACACCACTTCCTGGGCAGATCACTGGGAAAGCTGTTGTTATTGCTACCCCTGCTTCTCCTGGGATTTCACCTGCTACTGACACTGCAGTAGCTAACAAACCGTCTGCCATTCCAGCAACAATACCTGGGCAGATTACCTTGGGCATCAAACCTTCTGGGACTAACCCACAATGGGCTGAACTGTTTAGAGACAATCGTGCTCCGTCTAAAGGTATCAAACTGAAATATCTTCCTCCCGGTGATGAAGTTGTTGATCTCTCCAATTGTGTGTTACCTTCTATGGTCTTGGTGTGGGGTTTTTGCCTCGTTGGATGCTTTACAGGTAGATTCCCGGGACTTGAAGCGATATATGAGCTTGTGAACAAATGGGGCGTACATTGTACATTGCAATCCCATAAGAAGGGGTGGGTGGTTTTTAAATTTAAGAATGAGCATGATAGAACTAAGGTTTTTACCGAAGGGCCTTATAATATCTTTGGAAGATTACTTATCTTGAAAATGCTTTCCGATGACTTCACTTTTGATGATGAGGCATTCCTTAAGGTGCCTATTTGGGTTAAGTTTCCCAATTTACCTTTGAACTTGTGGAATGAAGAGGCAATGAGCATGATTGCTTCAAAGGTGGGTGTTCCTATCACTACGGACAAGGTCACTCAAGAGATGTCTAATTATAACTTTGTGAGGGTTTTAATTGAGGTGGACATTACCTTGGCACCTTGCCTTTCATTTCCTATCAAGTTACCTTCGGGGAAGACTTTTAATCAAGTGGTTGTCTATGAAACCTTTCCTAATTTCTGTTTTCATTGCAAATCTTACGGACATCACCCCTTTATTTGCAAGGAATTGGGATGGAAAAAGATTGATAAAGTGATGATAGCGGGTGGTGTGAAGAAGGGGGGAAAGCCAAAGAAGCTGCTCAACCAAGGATGGATCCCCCTAACACCTCTCGGGCAGTACCTATCAAGGGGAAGATTGTCCAGACTGCTGAGGGGCAGTTTACTGCCAGCCCGACCGGGCAACCTTCAGGCCCGACCGGGCCTCTTGTCCAGACTGCTGCTGAGGGGGCTGTTTTAGGTGCGAAACTTGTGCAGTCTACGCCAACTGACCAGGGTACTTCCTTGCCTGCCCATGGGCTTTACAAAGTTGTTGAATCCGAGGTTGTTTTGGAAGATATTGAAAGGATCGTGATGGAAGAAAAAGATTTGAAGCTTAATGATGTTGTCATCAAATATGGTATCAAAAATGGTAAGACACTTAAATTGGTTGTCAAACCGTTTAAGTTCGTGCATGAGAGTGTGGTTAGAGTGGACACTTCGTTTCGACTTACGGACGATTTGGACGGGAAAGGCATTACCTTCCTGGCCGCATGTCTTGAGGCGATGCCGGGAGTTACTAGAAAAAAGAGGGAAATTTGTTTTGACTCAGATTTCACTACTCCTTTCCGAGCTTTCTTTGGATTGTAAATTAGGGATTCCTAATTATTTTGTGTGGCAGTAGCTTCTTTTTAGCTTTGAACCATCTATTTATCCTTTTGTTTTTGAGGTCAAAATGTTGATTTGGGAGGATGGTTAAATTGATTTTGTGGTATCCTATTTTTTAGGATATGCACTTTGCTTGTAGCATTGACTTGTTATTTTCTTGGGTGTTAATATATACTTACAACGAGATATTAAACGCTTTCAACGACACAAATTAG